TCTACGGTAAGCCAGAATGATGAATTAGTCAAGCATGTAATCCGTCAGGCGGGTAGAATACTTGCCTTGAATACGATAACTGAAATTCTTTATTAGGTATAATACCAGAAAGGTCCAATCTGTCGAATGATATTTCGCAAACTTACCGGTAGTGAAGTTTTAGTCAAGAATGCAGAAGGATCAATGTTTACTCCATTCATGTACAACTGACCAAGAGTTGTAAAAAATAGTTCTCGATTGCGAGGGTTATCCTTTCGCATAGTTTTCATTATTGTGCAAGTTTTACTCATAGAGCGCTTCAACACAGCTTGAAGTAAATGATGCGGGCTAATTTCTATTACTATAGCATCTTCTGGTACTTTCTGCATAGCATCGTAAAACAATACTGGACTTACTAAGTTATTAACATAGTAATCTGCTCCAGCGTATTTTGCAATGTCTTCATGTAATTTAGATTCTGGTACTGAAGAGCTAATCCAGCGAGATGAACGAAGCTTCGGTTGCGTAACAATTTTCTCAACAGCAGCTTTGAGAAATGGTGCAGCTTTCTTGATATAGTGAGAGTGAAAGGCTACACCTGCTGTCTCTACTTTTTTGGCAAAAATTTCTAATTATAGAAAAATGAAATATTTTGAGGTACGAGATAAATCAGCAATGTCAAGTCAACTAAACAAATTTATCCCAATTTATGACTTATCTATCAAAGATTGTAATCATATCAGTAGGGTTAAAGTGTTTACATCTATCTATTGCTATTAGCTAACCTTCAGATTTTAATTGTTTGACAACTTCTTCCACTTTATCTGGATCACCCGAGATAGTAACAGTTTTTTCTGCGTTATGACATGCAGCTACAACATCATCTGGACAACGCTTTTTCGCTTCTGCCCATGTTAATCCGACAGCAGCCATTGCACCTTTCTCTAATTTAGCATCTAAGATAGATTGACCTCTCCAGTAGCCAACCTGCACTGCTTCTTCTAGTGTCAGTGCTCCATCAGCATAACCACAAGCTACTTCACCGGCACTATGACCGAATAGACCTATAAAAAAATATCAAAGTTTGATGTTTAAAACTACTGCTAGTTTACATATAGTCTACATCATTAGCATCCAATAATAAGCTTCTAGTTTTATGTACTATGATTACAATATTGAATTGGAACAAATTGCCTTAATTTGATATACTTTTATCTATAAGACTGTTATGTAATAGCTTCTACGTACCATCTGGTTCAAGGCCGCAAGCCTTCAAACAATCGACTAATGCCACTTGTATGACTACTAGCCCAGTGAATGAGTTTCGGACATTTTCAAATGTGTCTTGATCACTATTTAGTAACAGATCCATTACATCCAATCCTGTTGGGAGTAACACTTCACGTGCTCTTTCAATACTCTCGCGAAATACTTCAAATTTCATCATATCTCGACCCATCTTAGCCCAGTGGACTCCCATACCTGAAAACACCCACCATACTGGACGCTTACTTGTTGGTGCAACATCAACATCTTGGATAGCATTTTCTGAATTTAATATTGTGAAACCACGTTGAGGATGATAATTGCTGGCAGTGGGTGTATCGGACATGCTATTTAGGAGATTGATTAAATCAGCTTTATCATGGTGTTGATTAGCAAGTTCACATAACTTCTCCACGCTTTCTTTTGTACGACCAGAGCATAGTGCTATGGATAAATTGTTACTTATTGTTAATTGGCTGTCCTCTTCATGGAAAATTCTCGGTTTCAGCACGGCATGAGAATTGGCACCACCAAATCCGAACGAGTTCACACCGACATAGCCATCTGAAATTAGAGACGACCTCATGTTAATAATCACTACTTATCTGAACTGGTATCACTAATGTAAAAAGTCTATCTTATTGACGGTGTAATCGATCAACTCATTGGTATGGCATCTTGTTTGCATAGACAAGTATCGATGAGTATACTATGTATAGCATGTATTGACCTGGAAATGGTGTATTTTCTGTAACGACTTTCAAACGCCCATCTAGCAATCCTGGAATGTCAGGATTGGGATTTTTGTAGTGCAAATTAGCAGTTAAAGTGCCATGTTGAGTGCATGCGAGTACTTTAGCAACAGCTGCTAATCCAGATGCAGGCTCACTATGTCCCATATTGGATTTGACGGTCCCAATGAGTAGAGGTTTATTACCACGGACCTCGCCTGCAAACATATCACAGATTGAATTGACTTCTTGTGGATCACCAGCTTTGGTACCTGTTCCATGAGCTTCAACGTAACTAACATCACCAGGATTGATACCAGCTTCATTGTAGATTTCCTTTAATAGGCGAAATTGTGCTCTGCCATTGGGAAATGTAACACCCTGCTCCTTGTATCCGTCACAATTGGATTTAGTATAGGGGACGGTGGCATAAATACGTTTGGCAACGCTTTTCTTTAGTAAAAGTACTGAAATGATACCTAAATATCGAATTATTGTGATATTTTAGACAAGGATATGCAATTTGTAGGTGATAGAACATCATGCAAGAATGGTGATAATATGTAGGGTATTAGAATGGATCCTATTCTCGAGGTTACGGTAGCTATTGAAAATATTGAAAATTACCTTCAGCACGACAGTAGCCATTACTACCAGCATCGAATGCTTTACACGAGCCATCATGCGATAACATTCCAAATTTATGAAATTCCAAGCCAGTATTGGGTTTGAAATCACAGCATACCCCGCCAACAATTGCACCTTCACAACATCCCATCCTGATTGATCGTACACCTTGATCGAAAGCGATTAACGATGAAGAGCAAGCAGTATCGACAGCGAAACTAGGCCCTGTATCAACAAAAGCAAAGATTGTTTTCAACTTTGAAGGCAATATCGGTCTAGTTCAGGCTGTTTTAATGGCAGTCACAATGGCTATTCTATCATGTGTACTATTTATTACCATCATTCATTGACTTATTTACTGGAACAAGACTGTCTAACGCGTTTTTGTTCACAATACATCTATATATATACATTACGCTATGACTAATGAATGAATCCTTGCCTTCAAGGAAAACAAATTTACGTAGTAGACTTACCGCCAAAATTGAAGTAGTATGATACTCGATTGGCACACATGCAGGCATGGCAGCCAGTCGCACTGTAGCCTATCTGCGATTCTGCATCAGATTGGTAAGCGTGCAAAGCTTCGCTCAAGGTTTCTCCTACAAAGACACCGTAATTTTTGCCGCGTAAGTTGTAAGGATTGAAACCAGCATCGACAATCGCTTCATAAGAGCATTCCAGCAGCATACGAAGTTGAGGATCCATGGTATTGGTTTGCTTGGGATGAATACCAAAGAAAGTTGCATCGAAAAGTTCGGGATTCTTCAATTTGCCATTACGCTTTGGTAATCCATACAATCCAGGAGGCCATCGTCGGTCATCTTCGGTGACCATATCTTCAGCGTTGAATAAATGATCCCAAAATTCTTGCATGTTATTGGATTCAGGTAAACGGCAAGAGATACCAGCAATAACAATTTCATCATCGTCGATGAGTACCGGCGCCATCTGCAATAATTCAAACAATTTGCATGGTCAGCTAGTGTCGTTCATGCTCAACCTTCAACTTAGTCAGATGATTGATCTACTGTCATTGAGGTGCGATAGACTAGATGCACTCTCGTATGATGAATCGACATAACTGCAGAGGGTATATTGGTCTCATCATGCTCCATTGCTTCCGTCGTGATAGCCTGTCTTGGCGAGCTGGGTTGGCTTAGCAAGAAATTGTTTTACCATCGCTCGCTTTTTCTACAAAAGCACAGCACTATCCTAGACATGTTTGCCCTAATCTGGTCTGTCCACACCGTAGAGGTATGGTGAAATAGGTTCTGTTTTTCAATCTCAATTCAAAACCGGAGTCCATCTCTGAATCGATTCACGGCTCTACAAGAGCTTCCTTCCTCGTATGCTCCCCGCCCTCCCCCAATTCAATTTTATTTTCTACCGATGACGTACGTCAACATTTCCATTTTCAGGTATAGTGACACCCAGTGGCACCACGAGCGCACGACCGAAGGTCACGGTTGCACGAATGTCGCATAGAGTAATCACGCCATTGATATCGGCGGTACTGGACAGTCTATTTTACTATGGTTTTACTACAGTTGGGTGACCATCACGCTAGACTGGCCACGCACAATAGTCGAGCCTTATGGTGGAGGTGACGCATTGAGTGGGTATGACTCGGTACTAGGAGAATGTGCCAGCCAGCATCCGTCTGACACCGTGCTCGGTACAATCTCCAACTGTTGATCAGTAGCTAGTGTTGAGTGTTGAGTGATTGCATGGCTAGTGGTTAAGTTAAGTATGCAACTGCGCTTGAACAGTACTGTCAAAAGAATAACGCTTGCTCTGTACTGCAAGATAGTGCAACGAGTAGAACATGATTTGGTCTCCAATGACTTTATAGCCATACCTTGCTTTAGTGGTGACGTAAGTCGTGTCACGTAGTCCACTACAAGACACGACCGTATTCTAAGGTCACTCCACTCTGACTGATTCACAGTACCACGGCGCTCTACTCTTCTGTACTGTACACTATGTACTGTAGACTCAGCGAGGGAGTCCTGTCTTGTGGCTAGTGGTGACCACTGACCCGGTGTCGTCACAGCCCCATCGACGTGAAGCTAGTGTAGAAGTAGTACAGTACTGTACACAAGTGCAGACAGTGCGCTAGAACGATCATGGATTCCAGTGGTAAGAGTGATCATAAAAATGTCCATTAAAAGCTACAATTAGAGTGAGCGAGGAATCGGCTGGTTATTTCGAAAAGACACAGTGAGGAGCCTGTAGATTGTACACGAGATCGTCAACAGGTCGTGAGCAAGTATACAGCACAGTAGACACACAACGATGTCTGTATGCTCGCGGACTGACGGACGATGACACTCCACATTCTGCCACTCGATGATGACCAGAGATCTTAGCCAGGAGCAATATTCAATGTCTGGTCATTCTCGGCCACTGTACATTTCCTATGACATGACAGATCCAGAAATGCTGGTGGAACGTTTTCACCGGCATTTTTGCATGTGTTACAGGGAAATGTTTGGGCCTACCGGTCATGGACTACGATCGCTATACAGTGCATGGATTAGTCCATCGTGAGATATAAAATGGACTGGATGATGTAATCCATCGCCGGAATCATATGGAATACAGTCAATTTGACGATGTTACAGTCTGTAACAGTATCATCGTGCGCTAAAAGAATGTCACCTGTATGTAGTCTATAGTAGTCTACAGGATGACAACAATTGACTATAGACAATATGCTCGCAGAAAAATTCCCCACCCATGATGCTATCGATTGTTATCGCTGCTGCCAGTGCTGCTCAGTCAAATCGAAGTTAATCTTTCCATGGTTTTCTACACTATACTAAGTCTAGTATGTCAATGCCCCCCCAAAAAGATGACGAAATCGGCCCCAAAAAAATTTTTGCGGGGCTCTGCCTGCCAGCGCAACAACCCCTGTGGTGGCCATCATCCACTTAGGACTAATTCAATCGCTAATATCTCATCTAGACTGGAATAAAATGATGAAAAGGAGATAGAAATGGATCTTCAATGTCGTATTCAAGGTGGCCACAGCAATAGCCATCCTAGAGGGTTATGGCTTACTGTCTAGCATTTGTATTCCATCGTTCCTCTTGTACAGTATTCATATTGACTCCATGATGTAATCGTATATTGATTCTTGTACAGTATCGTCGTCATGAAGGAAGAATGGAAAGAAAAAAAATAGTCGTCCAATTATTCTGGCCTAAATGGCTAGGATAAAACAATCCATGTTGGGAGAGGGCAAAGACAACTGCTATCCATTGAATACAGATAGAAAGGAATATTTCCCCTTCCTTTATCATTCATTTTCAATTTAGTTGTTACAGTAACACTTTGTCAGCCCAGAAGGTGATAATGACGATTTATCTCTCCAACATCATTAGTCCCAGCTGGATTGAAAAGCTATTCCATCTTGAGGCGCGAGCTGCTAATACAATGTACTTTATGATTGCATCATTCTTTTCAGCTGTCAAAGTTGGATAGAATTGTTGATGCATTTTTCGACCTTCCAGTTAGAGCCCTCAAGAATAAAGGGGCTCAGTAGACGAGTCATTGTAATAAAGCTGAACAAGTAAAATAGCCTCTCTGCTATACTGTACAGTATTCAAAGAAAAAAGAAAAAAATTCAAATTGAATTTTCTCTATACTTGTATACTCGTACTGAAGATAGAAAGAAATCCCATTGCAGTTTTCAATAAGACAGTAGTGTACATTCTTGGAACTGAGCTGACCGAGTAAAATATCTAGTCTATTTCATGGATACTACTTCAGAAGAAGGCTACTCAACATCGGACTAGATACATCCTGGGCCACTAAAATGAGATAGCCAAGTCTAGTCATCGAGGTGTGATGTAGAAGACTTTGATGCAAAAGCTATAAATGTGCTATTGTCTCAACATTGATAAAAAATATTTTTTTCCACTAAAAGTACAGCCAAAGTGTTAGGCAGCCTAGGGTACGTGAAAACAGGAAAAAGGTACATTGCAAGATGATGAGTAGACTAAGTAAAATTGGGACTGTCACTTAAGCGGTAGTGCCATATCATTTCTTCAAGCCAATAAACATCTTGTAGGATAAATTAAAAAAAATTTTGTTCGACTCTACCAAAGGTAATTTTGTTCAGGAATATGCAAATGAGCAACATTATTTTATCACTAACGCTAGCCTCCTGTCAACATTGCAAGTTCGTCTAGCTACTCCATCGATTCAAGTCTATTATTGGGAATGAGTTCCGATCTTTTGCAATAGCCCATTTGCAGCCAACATGCTTCCACAGAACATGCTGCTGAACTAAAGTAAAGGAATTTGGTGAGTACATGTAGCAATCACTCGATTCCAATTCCTACGTCATCATTGCAAATGACAAAAAAAATTGGGGGAGTTTCGGTGGAAATGCCATCCAAGTATGGCTGAGCCCTGAACTTTTTGGACCTTCGAAAAGAACGATATAGTAACTGAAACTGCTACTAACAGCCCTGTTAGCCATTTAGCAGTAAAATTAAAAGCCATTATGTAACCCTGAACAATTATTTCGCAAAATTGGAAGCCCTTCAGATTGAGTACAGAAAAGTTAAGCTGCATTGATATAAGCCAATTTGGATACACCCGTCATGTAAAGTAAGAATACCCTAAGCCCCTAAATTAGCGATGCAATTGAAATTGAAGAGAAATATAAAATAGCTTACCTTTCTTATCTTCTTCTCTGTCACTTTTTCAGCAAAAAGAAATTGCACGATCTGATCAGATTGCTATTTGACTTGAATTCGGCCAAATAAGCTTGCAGGTAGCCACGTTACTGTATCTAGCAATACAGTTGCGATAGCTAAGAAATTTTGAGGAGATTGCAAGCCAATTTATTGCATCAATATTAGATGACAGTATACTTACGTCCAACCAATCAGCTTATCGGTTGCTTAAAAATCACGCGCAATTATCAATAATAACCTGGAGAGGAGAAAGAAATGATGTTTACTTAATATTTTAATTTCTATTCATAATTGACAGGACATACAAAGCAAATACATTTGAGATCAAAAGGCCAAAAAAAAGCGATGGCAATCGCCAGCCCCTTTGTCAAACTTTATTGCTTGATAACGGCCAAAAAAAAAATTCAATTCTCTTTTTACTCTATTCGTTAAAGCTGTATGAGAAAATTTTACTTTCTTCACTGCTACAGAGTGATTCGAAAATAGCATCAAGCCTTATCTACAGGCCAATTTTACCATCAACAGCTTGTATCAATTATTGATTAGCTCATTCTGTACGATGGCCATGATAATAATATCACTGGATACACCTGTGTAAATCATTTTTCTTAGCAAGAGGAGAAATGACACGTTGATCTTGACGTCTCTTATTATTATTATTTTTTTTTCTCTCACTAGTACGAAGTACTAGTATACACTAAGCTTGAGGAAGACTGCATTCAAATACGGTTAAAAATTATCGTCTGATTTCCTACTCTGCATGTCTCCAAATGCACGTTACAAGATTATTTACTGTCATTTGAACATATGTAAAGCTAGCATGGCCTTATCATTTGTCTATTTTATTACATAAAAGGATTCAAAAACATCTGCTCAAGGTCATAGTGAAGCTAATGGCAGCAAGCACGTTGCAACAAGCGTGATGAAGATGGCCGTCTATGGCTCCTTCAATGTGCTCTTGCTGTCGACAATTTCGACATGGATGTTGTGTTGAAGAAAGATAGTCGATTACCCCCGCTAAGTTACGAGAACTGATTTTAAGATCTATGGATTGCAAATGATCATTTCCTCTATCACGATCCAATTCTCTTGGCTCCAAACAGCCATTTGTATTATTTCAGTCAATAAAACGCAGCACCATTATTTATTTAATAACATCTTTTGCATCATGCTCCTCCCCTTATTCCAAGTGATCGCCTATCCATTCTCCTCTCGGAGTAGAAATAATGACCATATTAA